TGCTGGAGGTTCTCCGGCGAACAGTAGTCTGTCGTGTGGAAAAGCCCACGGGATCCTGCTCTGAATCCCCGAGAGCTTTCGACGCGACAGGCTACTACTGTTTCGCCGGAAAGCTGCCAGCAAAGCGAGACTGAATCGACACATGCATTTCAGGGCAAACGATAACCACCACCAGTCTGTGCCCTCGAGCCCCCCGTGATGTCTTTCGTGGCCACCTGCAAAACACCCGAGCGTTGGAAGCGCCCGTGACACTTCAAGAGACAATAACATGTGGGTTTGGTTCAGGCTTAGTGGGGAGGGCTACAGCAGTAGAGTTATTTAAAACTCGAAAAAATGCATGAAACCAGTGGAAGAGCCCGAAAAGTGGATGAATCGAGTTTTATATCGAGGGGACTTTTGGGCAAAAATTCATGAATCGTGAGCAAAAATATGTTTGGGGCTCCAGAGCTCCAAGTATCCAAGTATATATTTGTGTTCCGAGACGAACAGACTGCTCTCTCTATCTCCCTCTCGCCCTCTCCTCTCTCCTCGCTTTTGCAGCAAACATCACCGGCGTCACAACAGCAAAGACACAGCACACAGTCATAACAACGCCGCCACCACCGCCAGCCCCCAACCAAGCTTTGGGCACTGCCCGAACGATTTTTTGTTGTGCTGCATGCGTATCAACGCGTACGTGAGGTTGCTGCATGCTGCTGCACCCTCTCTTTTCCCCCCCGCCCTCCTCTCGTCGTGCTCCTTTTTCTTTCTCGCTTTCTCTGGTGCCGCTATCGCACGCAAGCACAGACGAACTAACAAGCAGACACAGTTCCACAAGGCTCGCCGCGTAGCTTATAGGCTGCCCCGTTATTCTTTTGGGGGGAGGGCGGCCCTTCCTAGTCGGCATGGCGGGGGGGCTGGAGGTTGTTGTTGCCGTTGATGCACAGGGTGTGCGTATATGCCTGTCTGCCTGTCTTTTCTAACCCCTCTCTCGTTTTCTCTTTGGCACAAAAAAAAGAGAAGAAGGACCAACGGTTTGTTATCATCAACGTGCCCGAGTGCCAACATACAGAGTATCAGCTAGCGTGGGTTGGGGGTGCTCTTGGCAGAGACGAACGCGCCTTGTCCATTATTCGTTCACTACGTTAGGGTGTGCATATATTCGTATCACCTTGAAAAAAGGCACTCTAATTTCGCTTGCTGCTTGTTTCCGGTTGATCAAATTTGGCTGCACCACAACGGCAGCACCTGCCCAACACCAACTGTCCGAGGATGTATTGGCGCAGGCTAACAGTCGTGTGTTTTTTATCCTGTGAAGATCTATTCTCGAATTATATATCACGAGAGTTTTTCACCAAAAATGTACAAAGCAGCGAAAGGCCCAAAAAAGTCCCGCCGGTCCATGAATCGAGTTTTAAATAACTCTAGTAGGAGTGGGGGCTGCCCTCCCATACATAGGGGTCCAACAAAAAAAATAAAAATATTTCGCGCGAAGCGCGAAAAGAAGGGTCAGAGAGAGACATCAAAGCAAGCGTAGATAGATATGGATGGAGCCTACCGTATATGACACAAGATAACACACCTACATAAGAAAGCACACCCCGCACAGAATACGACACTCCGGTGATAGTTTTGGGCGCTTCTGATAAACCATCGATTTATCACCGGGGGTACATACCCGGTGATATTTTTAGTTGCGCCGCATATAGTCACGGGGCCCCTCCTTCTATATCACCGGGGTGACAGCATCTGCCCTGGGCAATCACACACACAACCACGTCAGCTGTGTGCGGGAAACACCCCGCATGGAGACCCCCAACAACATGAACGTGCAGGCAGAGCAGAATGCAGCCGCAAGTACCAAGTAAACGTTTTTGTGAGGGGGGCAGGAAGGATGGCGCACGCAGTCTGTGGCCACCGCCAATCATCGTATCGGTCGAGGTACCTTCGATTTTTAATTTTTTCTTGCTCGATTCAAGCCCGTATTTTGTTTCAAACTTTTTTTGGCGATGAGAGGGTTGAGTTATCGCCGAGGTCATGTGCTCAGGAGTTTCGTCACCTCGGTTGAGCCCCTTTGTTTTTCCACGCCCCTTTAGGTAGGTCCCTACACTGCACGTGTACGTGCAGGCATGGCTGTCACACCCCCTTTTATCGCACCCCCTCATTTATCACACCCCAAAGCACACGCTGTGGCTGTTCGGACGTGCTAGCACACCCCCTTTTATCACACCCCCTCATTTATCACACCCCCAAACACACGCTGTGGGTGTTCGGACGCGCTATCACACCCCCTGTTTTATCACACCCCCTTAGGGGCCCCTGCGAGCTACACTTTATTACCCGGGGTACACAAGATAACACCCCTCCCCACAGGATACCACACCCGATGATAATATTTTCAAACTCCAAAATGTTATCACCGGGGTGTGTTTTCTTGTGTCATGTACGGTACGCCACCACGTAGGTCACTAGTGCGCACGCTCACACCTCGCCCGATACCACCAGTCAGTCAGGGGATGAATGGGAGAGCTGTTTCGCTCTCATCATCATCAGCTCAGCGGCAGCAGTGCTGCTGCTGCTGCTGCTGCTGCTGCTGCTTGCTGTTGCTGCCGCTGCTGCTGCTGCTGCTGTGCATGGGTGCGCACTTGCTTTCTTCGCTTTCGCTACTGTACTAGCAGAGGGCAACAGGCTCTAAAAAAAGGGCCCGACCCCTCCCACGACGTGCGTATTTGGCCGCCCGTGGCGTACAGCGCTGTGTACGTCTCACTTGTCTCTGTTTCTGGGGTGCGTCTGTTGTGGAAGCAAAGATCGGCCGGCAGACGAAGAGACAGCAGACAGAGATCTGACTTGTGTGCACTCGCATGTTCCCTCGCTTACGCTGCTAGCAGGCCTCGGGGTCTAAAAATAGCGTCCGACGCCAGCCATGATGTGTGCTTTTGGCCGGCCTTGGCCTACAGCAGTGTGTAGACCTCGTTTTCTCTGTTGTGAGGATGCGTCTGTGCGGGAAGCTCCAAAGATCGGTAGGTTGAGGGTGATGCAGACGGACCGCGGGTTGACTTGCGTCGTCACTCGCTTGTGCTGCCGTGTCTTGCAAACAAAATGCCGTACAGCAGTATTTATGTATTTATGGGTGCTCTGCCGGAGTACTTGTAGGAGGGAGAGAGAGATTTTCACTCAAAGAAGATGCACGATTCAAAAAGGAGCAAATTGCGTCCGTCTGTGCGAGGTAAATGCACAGATATTATCCAGCTCAACAGACAGCGGCTTTCCCGACGACTTGGCAGCATGCCGCTCTGCAATCAAGCACATGCCGTATGTCAGCAACGAACACAGGACAGTGGCAACTTGACCGCACTCACCTGAACCCAGTACAACCAGGGTGTTGACCTTCCGGCCTGGCCTGCCTGCTGAAGAGGATGTTCTAGTTTTCTGCTGTGGCGATTGCGCCCGTTGCTGTGCCGGCCTTTGACGCCACCGTCGCGGCAGTATCGCCCACACGCGCCATGCCAGCAACAGGAGAGCAGTCCCCACTACACGCGCCACCACCATCCATCAACGCACACGGACTTGGTGGGGCGGCGGCGCAACTTGCTACGAGGCTGTCCGAGGTGATTCGGGGCCCCGTGATTGTAGTACCACCATCATGACCACAGCTGTGTATCCCCCTATCATGACAGCCAGCCGACGGCGCCGTGGAGCACGAGCCCAGCGCGGGGCGCACACACCAACGTGAGAAAGAGAGGAGGGTCAACATGAGGGGAGCATCCACAACAACGCTAGGAATGGTGTTCGCCACCTTTGTTTACCTGGTGAGAAGTTCGCGTGTTTAGGATGTCATGCGGTCCTCTTGCAGTGCTGCATGCGTTTCTGTACGACATCGACGTACGATATTTGCTGGCGTGTCCCTGCAAGGCACAAGATAGCGCGCCAGCGTAATTGGAGGTCCAACTTTGGGAACGCGTGCAGCTTCCCGTGCTGATGTTGCTTTGTAAGGGAAAGTGGAACGTGCCTATTCGAAAATTGCAGCTTCATCCTCTCCATGAGGCATACGGGAGGAAAGGTTGCATCAACTTGGTCTACAGCCTACTGCTGTAGAAGCCAGTCGCGCGGGAGTGTTGCATCTTTGACATCGTACGCCGGGTGCGCGTCAGATCGAACATCACCTGTCCATGTGGTTTGAATAACAACATTGCGATAGCATGCCGGCTGAAGCAACTTCCTGGTTTTACGCGACTCCGGCACTCACGTCCGAATCACAAGCTATACATCGAAGAAATACTTAACATGCGATCGCGTGCCGCTCTATTTCGTGATCGGCCTCGGTGCTGTCGATCACGTTGGTGTCTCAAGATTTGGATTACGTCCACTTGATTATGAAAGGGCCTTGAGGTTGCTCCAGGTGAAGTCCCCCACGACTGCTGCAAGGCGGCCACATTGTGCGTCAGAAATATACTTTACATTTCTCTTTTTTGTCCTCGGATGATTCAGCAACCGTATTATGCAGCAGTGGGAACGTTGCGGCGAGAATTGCAGGACCCCGTCACAGCCCAACGCAGCACCCCAACCCACCCGGCCGAGTTGGATGTCGTAACGCGTGGCTGACCACCTAGTGTTGTGACGCAATTGGAACCCCCCCCCCCCCCCCCCCCGTTCTCTTGAAAAACCAGACTGCGTCATCGTGGCGGACAGCAGCTTCCGCTTTCGTCATCCAAGACCCATCTGTGCATCGGAAGCTGTGCCGCCAGTACGAGCAGCGGCAACAACGCCGACTGCCAGCAAGCGACGGCCGTACTACTAGCTCGTACTCCTCGTGCTTCTTACCGAGAAAGGAGCAGCAGAAAACACTATCTGCTACCGCCAGACATAGCGGCAGTAGAGGGGTAGTCGGCAGCGGCATTCACCATCGTCGGCACAGCAGAGTTCGGGCGCGAAGCGTAGCGGGAGGCAACGGCGTAGTCGGCGGTTGTGGGGAGTGGCAATGGCGAACGTCGTCGTTGCCAAGGTCATCGTCGTTGCTGGTGATGGGCGGGGCTGGCGAAGGGGGCGGGGGCGCTGGGGCGGAGGTGGAGTCGGGGCTGATGCTGTTCAACACCGAGGGACGGACGAAGGAGCGGTTTCGGCCCCAGGACAGGAGGCAAGATTGCTTGTTCCGACAAACTGTGGGTGTGTTCCGAGACCAGCGGCACCACCATCGCTACATGGCGTGTTTTGTCGCTTCTGCATACGCTTTGGCCATTCACCGCTGTTCGTGATTGCTGCTGCTGACTTCTTCCTCTTTTAACTCTTCTCTCTTGCGCTTTTCGCTTCGGACTGGGTGGCGGAATCGGCTTGGCAGGAGAGTGAAATTTTACAGCTGCGGCCCAACCGTGTACGACATGGCCCACATCGGAAACTTTAGGGCCTTCCTGACGTACGACGTGCTCAAGCGATGGCTGCTCTACCAGGGGTGAGTGTGGGGACGGGGGCATACCTGTTGTTAACTTTCGGCCAAGGTATGCGACGCCATAGCGACGTCAATGTACGCAGGTGCCCCAGGTATCCGGCGTTTTCATTCCAGAGTTCCAGGCGCAACCCACGGAGGGCTCAAGAGGAAATTGCGGTTGCCCCAACGAAATATCCTGCGTGCTTTCCAAGTCACAAGTCAAGACGTACTGCGCACACATGCACATCCCCAGAAAAGTTAGGGAACGGAAGAGGTAGAGCCGCTCGGCGCCGGCCTCGATCCTCTGCCCAACGCAATCGGATATGGTCATGGGTGGCGGCGACACTGCAGCGAAAGGTACCGAAGAAGTGCCTCTTGTGAATGAGGGAAAGCCCAAGTGGTCTCTGGCACCCCCCATTCACTGCCTTATTCCCTCTGTCCCGGCTTTGTAGGGACGCGAGGTCAATATTCTAACGACTACGACATGCACGACTATGAGTACACCCCCCCCCAATATATGTATGCGGTCGTGTTCCCTTGCCCACCAAGTTTCGAGGTGGACCACGTGTGCAACCTGACGGATGTGGACGACAAGATCATCGCCAGAATGGCGCGCGACGGGGTGAGCCTGGAGGAGCTCACAGGCAAGTACGCCAAGCTGTTTTTCGACGACCTCGAGTCCCTCAACATCGTCCCGGCGTCCCGGTACCCCCGCGCCACCGAGCACATCGACGACATCGTGGAGATGGTGCAGGTGTGGAAGAAACGTTGTGTAGGCATTGTTTGCGCGTGTGCTTTGGTGTGCGTTTTTTTTCTCTTTAGTGGTGCCGAGCGAAGGGTGCGTGCGCGTGATTGTGCTTCCGATTGAGCGCGCCCGCCCTTGCACACGTGATATGGTCTAGAGTTCGCCCTTGGTCTACCTAGCTCAGGCGTGTAGCAACTCAAAGCACGTTGGCGGCGGTAGCGGTGTGGCACGTGTTGTGCTTATTCTGTCTCTTGCTTGCAGTGCTTTAGCGTTGTTATCCTTTGCCGGCGTGTACCCGTTTTACACCGCAGCAGAAGGCCGCCGTCAAAGTGTTTTGTATTGTTTTGTGTGCCGCTTGCTCCCTGGTGTGCTCGGATTGTGCCCGGCATGGGCGCAGCGCTTTGCTTGTTGTCGTGACAAGTCCAACCCTTTGCTACTCGCTTGGTGCAACATGCTGCGCGTTTGTTCGGCGTCGGCCAACACCGTCGTCTGTTCCACCCCATTTATGGTGACCTGTCCAAAGGCAATGACTGTGGGACTGATGTACTTTTGGGAAGCGGAGTACTTTGCTTGGCTATGTATTCTCCCCCTCCCCCCTCGAACAGCGCGGTAGCAGCACCTTTCGTTTCGAATGCACCGCACTTGTTTCCGGCGACCTTTTCCGAAATTCGCCGCACCCTTTCCTACTGGTCATCGGGCCACCGCTACCTATTTTGTTGTCGGGGACTGTGTTGTCTTTCGTCCCGCTGCGGCGGCTGGAACTAGGGGCTCATCGACAAGGAGCTGGCATACAAGGTGAACGGGTCGGTGTACTTCAGGGTGTCAAAACACGGCAAGTACGGGACTCTGGCCTGCCTCGACACGTCTGGGATGGAGGTGCGATTGTGGTGTTTGCTTGTAGGAGCGCGCTCGAGTCTCTGTCTCGAGCACACATATCGTAGGTTCCTAGAATCGGCCACAAGCGGCGAATGTGGACCATACCGGTAGAAGCAGCAGCCGGAGCAGGAGCAGCAGCTGCGGCAGTATTGCGCTGGGGTGTACTTTTTACAGTTCATGGGAACGTTTAGCCAGCGCAAGGTAGCCCCGCCGATGCTTGTTTTCTTCGTGATAGGGGTGGGGCCAGAAGTGCTTTGGGGCATGTTTGTTTCTTTTCTTTGTACATCAGAGCCCAGTGCCACCACGCGGCGAGACGACACCACATGCAAGTATACCAGACCGACGATTGAAGCTTTCGGACGTCGATATTGGTTGTTTTCGCAGGACGGAGCGGGCGAGGGCGGCGGCGTAAATGACGCGGCCGAGTTCGAGTCGGAAAAGGAAGATGCCAAGGATTTTGCGCTTTGGAAGGTACAGACGTGATGAACCCATACTTTTTGACTGGAGAAAAACTTCGAGATCCGAGCACCAACGTGCACCATGCGTTAACTACTTCGGAGAAGCGAAAGCAGAGATCACTCCAATGAGGGGCAATGAGGGTTGCTTTTACTTGAACGGTTTCCGTCGCCACGATTTCTCGAACATAGAGAGACGAGGAACAAAGGGTGCTCCGTTCGGAACCAATCTCGGTACCACCCTTTTTACGCCTCCGCGTGTGATATTGTCCCGCAACACTTTTTCAGGGGTACAAGCCCGAAGACGGGGAGGTGTTTTGGGACACTCTGCTGGGCAAGGGTCGGCCCGGGTGGCACATCGAGTGCAGCGCGATGGCCCGGAAGTTCCTCGGGGACACGCTGGACGTCCACGCGGGGGGTATCGATCTGGTCTTCCCGCACCACGAGAACGAGGTCGCGCAGTCGGAAGGTTTCACGGTGAGTTTTATGTCTGTTAATTGGTTTGCCGTGTCTGTATGTTGTTTCTGGGTGTGCCTTTGGCTGGGGTGTTCGTCGCGTCCCGTGTGTTCATGTGCGCGTGATTCATGTTTTGCGAGTAGGTGAGGTTGTGCTGGAAGGGCGTTCATGGTACGTATGCATTGCGTGCGCGTGTTGTCTGGTTGGTTGTGCCTTGCATTGGTTTGGTGCATTCCCCGAGGGGCGCGCGAGTGGGGAGGTGGTGACGGAGGAAGGCAGACAGTACGGAAAATACGGACAAGAGAATTCGAGGCGGTTGAGAGAGAAAAAGCTGTGGTACTAAGCAGTACAATATGGAGGTTACGAGGAAAACGGCTTTGACTTTGATGTGTCGCCTGTTTCCCATTCCCGGAAGCGACGGGCGTGCCCAGAGTCCAGGAAGAACCGCGTCATGATAACCTTGGTCGACGTAGCTTTCTCTTGCACCGCCCCGGCCCGTCGTTCGCGCGGCCCATGCCCTGTATCCCGTTCGCTGGGCGTGCGTTAGATTTCTCCGTTGTTAACTCGTTTTCGTCGCTTCTCCCACCTCCACGGCACGCCAAAATGGATCCCTTACGCACCCGTCGTAAAATATCCACATGTGCTTCGGTTACACGCTCGACGTACCTCGGTGTCGTCCATTCATCAGCGCGAGACTGATGGATAAATACTTCATCGTGCCTTCCCCCGGATAAATTCATTATCGTGCCTTCCCCGATTTTGCACGAAATGCGAACAACTGCTCACGAAAACCGGACGGCTGTATGCACCTCTACCTGCACGCGGACCGCTCGCTCACGCTTCTCCAGGGGAAGCCTTTCTGCAGATGCTGGGTGCACAACGCGTTCGTCAACGTGGACGGCGAGAAGATGTCCAAGTCGAAGGGAAACTTCCTGACGCTCAAGAGCACGCTGGCCACCGCCCTCGACGTGCGCGCGTTCCGCTACCTCGTGGTGTCGTCGCAGTACCGGACGACCCTCGGGTTCTCCATGAAATCACTTCAGAGTGCCAAGAACACTCTCCGGCGCCTTGACAAGCTGCGGGTGAGAGGATGCACACTTGCGGCCCCACAAAGTGTGTGTTTTGCCTGGGGTGGGGGGAGCATGTGTGTCTACGCCTGCTCTTTGGTTGAGGAGAATCATGGCAGGATGGTGCGCGAGATGGGCGGGTCGTGTATATGCAGTTGTCCTTGCCGTGGTGAGATCTGCCGCGTGATGGCTGACAAATGGCGCAACTACGTGCCTGGTATCAGCCCCCGGAGAGTGCGTCATCCTTGTCTTTGCACGAGCGGCTTGGTACATCGTCTTTTCTACCTCCCCCGCTCACCTCTGCGTGTCGATTATCCGCGATGCGAAGGTGGCATTAGAAGCTGCTGCAGCAGCCGGGAATGAGGAAGAGCGAGGGGATGCTAGCGAGGTTTCCCGCGAGTTGCTCGAAGTCGTCCCCAAGAGCCTGGAAGGTTTCGATGCCGGAATGAACGACGACTTGAACACCCCAAGGTAAGTAGCAGTCGTTCCTGCTCCAGTCATCCGTGGGGTATTTTATGAAATGGATGGATGGGACCGGTCTGTCATGCTTGTTTAGTTCGCAGAGGTTGTGGTTGCCTCCTGGGATGGCCGTGGGAAATTCCAGGTTGGTGTATTGTGGTTGTAGGGCACGGCGAGGTGAGGGCCGGGAAAGCGCCTCTGTGGGTGTACAATCCCTTGCCTGATTGATTCCCGACGGCTCTGGCGTTCGTAATTTTGCACGACGACGTTCCCGTGCGCGCGTCTGCCCCCGGTTACACCTCGCATATTACCAACCAAGAATACAGCAGCGAGAGCAGCGCGAATAGCGGGTTGATAGCAATCGCGGTGTTGCCTTTTTGTTACGCGGAAGCCTGACTCGTTCTACCTGTGCCCTCTTTGCGCTCTCTCTACGATTCAAAAACCTCGACCCGTTTTCAGAGCGGCTGCGTCGCTGTTCGCAGTAGTCAAGGCCGGGGAGAATGCCCTTAAGCGGGTTAGATCTGCCAACGCTGACGGTGGCGACACTGCCGCTGCTGGAGGAAGCCCTCCGCAGTCGCTGTTGCCCCAAGTCGACGCCAAGTACTTGCTGGCGGCGCTCGATCGCATGGATTCCGTGTTCGGCATTTTCTACGAGCCCGCGGGGTACGAAGCCGCGAACACGGGCGGTGATAGCGGGGGCGACGGCAAGGAGGCGGATCTACCGGGGGAAATGGCGGAACTGCTCGCCAGGCGGCTCGCCGCGCGGGAAAACAAGGACTGGGCGACCGCGGACGCCGTGCGGGACGAGATCAAGGCGCTGGGGTATTCTGTGAAGGTGAGACAGACACATGACGGAGAGAGACTCCGTGGACTTCATCCCCGCGTGATTCGGGTTGCACGAATCGGCCTACATTTGTTACCTTTCGCACTCACTTGTCCTGAGAATCTAGCGTGCGGTTTGGCCTGCACGAAAAGAAGTGTGCCTCGCCGAAATACCAGCTTCGTTGATTTGGAGTCTACTGGAGGTTCCCTCTACAGAACATTGATACGGAGTTGCCACGTTTATCGATGCCGTTGGTAGTGGGAGATGGTCGTACAAGAGCCTCCTTTAGTACGTTCCTCCGTCCCCCCCTTCACCCATTCAGTATTGCCCCGTCCCTCCTTTCCGTATCGCCATTCGTCATGGCGCAGGACGTCAAGGGCAAAGATCCGGTGGTGTCGCGGATTTGAAGGAGCAGGCCGCTCGATCCGACAATTTTATAGCCTAGCCGTTGCGTCACTGTCTCGGCATTGGTGCTAGGAACCCGTGAGCCTTCCACTTGTCTCTTTTTGTGACGGCTGTTGTGTTCCCAATTGTTTTTTGCAGGCAGAACATACGAGTGATCGTATGTGCTTTCGATAGAAGACGCTAACTGATTTGCCTACAACCTTTGTGGAGTGCAAAGTCGGCGCCCACGAAGCATTGAAAACATTTTACTCGCCCTAGTATAGAAGCGGGGGGGAACTCAGCCCCCAAACGAGGTTAAGAGAGAAAAGAGACAGCGTATCTCCGTAGTTTCTCTGGGTCTGGGAGAGGGCCGCGGCTTCTTGTAGTCGTCCATGGCACCGGGATAAGGGCAAACCCTGCCGGCTTTGATACAGAGCACCCTCTTTGGTTATTGTCGCTGTTGACGCGCTGCTTTGCGTACCAGCTTTCACCTACGGTGTAACTTGAACGCAATTATCCGGAGAACTTGCAGAACACGCCACCATTTCAAGATGAACTTGTGATTGCTCGGTTGCGAGGTGTCAGAATGACCAAGAGCCCGCGAGAGAGGTGCACCACTGGGGCTATAGACAGGAATGAGGTTTCGAAACTGCAATACGCAGCCTGCATTGGCCGGGTCAACGAACACCCCAGATTCCAGGGCGCGGTGAACTATTCTACTCCTCCGTACAGTAGTACATGGCCGTGGATCAGTTCGGAGGTACGACTAGCCATGGTCGATGTGCGAAGCCATGGCCACCACGTTTCATATGGACAGCGCCGGCTCCCTGCCTAAACTGGTGTGTTCACGGCCAAGTAGTTCACGGCACCCTGAAATCTGAGGCCCTGACGTCGATTCCCGCATCATCCAGCTCTTTTCATCTGCTTGCAAGAACTGCAGCTCTTCATCTTACGATGGCGACTCTTGCGTCAAGGCGAACGTATCCCTCAATAAGGCCGGCATGCCCCCCTCCTCGTCCAATCCTCTACCTCTACATAGCTTCTACAACACCAAAATCCCCTCTCAAGCGTAGTGTAGAACAAGATGACGCCAATGATGGGCCCTCCCAGGGGCCTTCACATCCATCCATGGGTGACGAGAGGCGTTGCTGCGCCACGAAAAGAACGCAAGCACCAGGATTCGCTGAAAACCAGGAGTCGACAATGGGCGTTAACTCTGAGCTGAACAGACAGATAGAATATTACGTTTCCGAACCCATCCGACGACTACACCCGCCGCGGCTCGTCAGAAGACACGCAACGACGACACCCCGCACACGCCTTACACTCACTGCTAATTAAATGTACCTAAAATGGATCCTGCATGTGTACATGCACAATCCATTGCCTTCCGTGTGAGCACCGTTAAGCACATCAGCATGGACCATGCCATCTTTCAAAGACACTCTTCCGGCATCCAGCGCCAGCTACTGCTGTTGGATGAACACCCATACAGCCACCACACTCTGACCACACAGCAAGAATAATATTGTAGAAATTCGAAATTCACCGCCTCCTGAGTTGTTCCGCTGAAAGGCCTCGACCACAAAAATACTCAAAGCAGCAGCAGGAGAGTGTGCAATACCAATAACTAAAGAGGTACAAGATCAGCGCGCCTTGACTGGCACCCGCGCTGATGCTTGCGGGACAGGCCAGCAAGTGAAGTGCAACTGTGCAACACCAGGGGTGCATACGCGCGTACCCCTCTGCGTCCCCTGTCTCTACGAAACCCAAATTTGAAAACCTTGGGGCACCGACACAAGACAGCAAGAAGAGAGAGAGCTGGTAGCACAAGGGACCATGGCCGGGGGCGCGGCTACTGAGCGAAGCAGCGATTGCTTGAGGTAAGTCAGGCCTCGTAGGGTTGCCGCTATCTCGAATTAGCACATGCTGTTCTCTCGCCGTGTGTGGTGTTTGTTGGGTCCCCGTGGTGTGTGTTGGATCCCCGACGAAGCTGACAGTCCCGTGCACACTAAAAGCGGTACAAGCAGCAGTAGCGTTTGGCGTGTTCGTGTTGGCTCGTGTGTGTGCTACTCATGCGTGCATTGCCAGTAGTAGATGAGCAGTGCCTGCCAAAAAGTGACGACTGCGTCTCTAGACTATACAACGGTCGGTGGTATGGCCTTTGTTTGGTGAGCACACTGCAGGACGGCAGTACAAAGATGACTGAGAGTATGTATGTGCTTCTTTTGCCAAGTTTTTTGTTGTTTTATTCCATCGGACAGCCGTAGTCATGCGCTACGTGCACATAGGTACTACAGCAGTAGCTCGCCTACATCTCACAGATTACCATGGAGCAAACCGTAGTTACATGTAGTTGTCCATGTATGTCTTTCAGATCACCCTATGGAGCAAACATACAGACCTAAGTCCTTCAGAGCACCTCGGGCAAACACGTGTACAACCTACCAATCACATCTAAACTTTTTTCACTTGAAGATCCACTCGAAATAGTAGCAGAAATTTCTCTCGGGCTCTCACGTGGCTGCATTTGGGCTCTCTAGAGCGCTGACAGGCCTGCATTTCTCCAATCTTCAGTTTCCCGTTTTCCCGATTTGCCGCTTTTTCCCGCTTTTTTCATCTCTGTCACGTTTCCACCCTTCCTTTCGCACGCCTCTCACACGGGGCCTTCATCTTCCTCTCTCGGTTGTCACACACACATCCATTCTTCACACATCCAGTCTGCTTTTGCCCGTTGCTCCCCACTGCTGTTCATCGTTCAACATCCACAACATTCAACTTTCCTTTTTGTTGCTGTTCAGTTCCGAAACTTGACTATTAGTCTACTTAAATAGTTGATCTGTCAGTCTCGTTCTGAACGGACGGGGTTAAATCGGGAATGCCCGTCCCTTTCATCTGCTGCTGCTCTCAGCCATCTACACAATTTCATCACGTTTTACACTAGTCTCTCTGTCTCCCCTCACACACCATCATCAGTCTGTCTCTCCCCTCTCGCATGGCCCAGCACCATCTGTCCTGGGTCTGTAGGCGCCTCATGTTCCTTTCATTCCACTTCTTCTCTTCGGAACGCTTCTCTTCCGATTTTCCCGGGCGAGGGGCGGGGTTTCTTCTCAGTTCCGACAATTGACATACTGTCAGTCAGCTGCTCCACTATTTGAGACGTCGATGGACCCGTTGTGCAAGGGTTATCTACACTGCGGGTTGAAACGTAGGCAAGATGCGTCGTGGTGTGGCGCCCTCTCAGCTCCTCCGCCAACTGTATGCGTTCGTTCATTACCTACCTTTTCACCCCAGCCTCTGCCTCTTCTTCCACATGTCGAGGAACAGCTTCTCAGCGCAGGCACCCCCAACCAAGCGCAAGCAGGCAGAAGAGTACATCTCTCTCACCCCTCTCGCGTGTCCCACATAATTGCTGCGCAACTATCTTTCTGTCTGTCTCGTTGGAGTTTAATTCCGCTTCTCTTCGGAATGACTCTCTTCGAAATTTCCCTGGCGAGGGGCGGGGTTTCTTCGGAAATATACATGAACAACAGCACAGTTCTGAGCGGGGCGGCGAAAGCCGCCAGAGTACGCCCTCTCTCTCTTTCTGCAACAAACCGTTTTTTCTTTTTACTAAGTTGCTTGCGCTTGTCGCATATCTTGGAATCGATCTACTGAGCGGGGCGGCGAAAGCCGCCAGAGGACCCCTTGTCTCGCTCTCTTTGTGTACTAAGCCGTTTTTCATTTCTTTTCACTATATTGCTACCACCGCTGGCTAATCGCGGATCTTGGAATCGATCTACTGAGCGAGGCGGCGAGAGCCGCCAGACCACTTTGTATGCATATGTCTTTCGGATCAACTCGGGAAAACATCGCCCAAATACTGATGCATTTCGGATCAACACGGGAAACATAGCCCAATGACCGACGTATTTCGGACCAACCCGGGCAACATAGCCCAGTCAACGATGTCTTTCGGATTAACCCAGGGGAAAACATTGCCGACATACGTAACCAACATATCCTATCTCTTTCGGATCGACTAGGGCAACATGGCCCAATCACACAAGTATTTCGGATCAACTCGGGAAATATTGCCCAATCACCTATGTCTTTTGGACCAAATCGGGATGTATGGTCCAATCACCGAGGTCTTCGGATCAACGGGTAAACATACCCCAATCGCCGATGTCTCGGATCAACTCGGACAAATATACAGTATTGCCCAATCACCGATGCCACTCAGGCAAAGATCGCCCAATCACCGATGTATTTCGGGTCAACTCGGGCAAAATAATCAAATCACCGATGTCACTCGGGCAAACATAACTCAATCACCGATGTCTTTAGAATCAACGCGGGAAACATGTCCAATCACCGATGTCTTAACTCGGGTAAACATCGCCCAATCCATGTTGTCTTCGGGGCAAACATAGCCCAATCGCCGATGTCACCCGGGCAAACATCGCCCAATCACCGATGTCTTTAGGGTCAACTCGAGAAAAACGACCCGATCACCGATGTCACTCGGGGAAACTTGACCAACCACCGATGTTTTTGGATCAACTCGGGAAACTATAGCCCAATCACCGATGGCTTTCGGATCTACCCCGGCAAGCATACCGCAACCAAAACATTTTATTAGTTGGGCAAACATTGCCCTATCAATCGCAATCACCGATGACTTCGGAGCAACTCGGGCAAACATAACCGATTTGCCGATGTTACTCGGGCAAACATGTCCCAATCACCCATGTGTTCCGGATCAACTCGGGCAATAATAGCCCATTCATCTACACGTGTCTTTCAGATCAACTCGGGCAAACATAGCCCAATCACGGATATCGTTCGGATCAGGCAAATATACACCCGTCACCTATGCCCTTAAGATCACCATACAACGAACATACGAAGATCAACTGTGTCCTTCAGATCACCATGGAACAAACATACACAGATCACTTATGTGCCTGTTGATGCCACCCGAGTCTGGTAAGGTGTACCCATTAGGTCGAATGGCTGATTATTGTTATGTTTGTGTATTATCGGTTGCCATCCGCCCCCGAGGGCGAGGGCCTTCCACCCACCAGGGCACGGAAGGGGAAATGAAGGCCAGAGAGAGAAGGAGGAGTGAACCTCACACGGCTCACAGCTCACACACAACGAACGTAAAACACGCTCTCAAGTCGAACAGCCTAATAGAGCCAGTAAGCTCCCATCCGATACGATCTCGTCACTTCTGGAGAGACACACCGACAGAACCTTGTCCTACAAGTTAAAGTGGACACGCCCTTCGAACGATCTACACTGTAGCTAGTGTAACTGTAGGGATCTATCTGCTCTGTCCTACGCGTGTGGGCAAGGGCACTACACAGCACGTGGCGCAAGAAGTATGTCTTTGCTGCTCTCTGAATAGTAGGGCAACGGAAAAACAGTTCTGGAAGGTGCATGTGCATTTAGGTTTCTACTGACAAAAAAAAAGTGGTCATGTGGTTCGAGTCCCATCTCCGCCAATACCGGTGGTCTCAGACGCTGCATGCCCCTCGCCAGCGT